CATGGGTAATAAATAAATGGGATGGTTAAAACTGGTTGAGATTTTCTGTGTATATAAAAAAAATATTTTAATGTTTGACCACAAATAGAACATGTCAGGAATATTAGAAAACTAAGTTTTGTGTAGGTTTTAATGAGGGACTTGAAAGATGAGTGGAATTGAAGAAGAGGCGGGGAGAATTTGTAGTTGGTAATAAATAATTCTAGCAAGGGTTCAATTTAGAGTTTAGTAGTGGAACACGGTTTCAAAGTCCACTTTTGGTTTTCTTGTAATTTCAACCAATTAGCCCTGTCAAGCAACAGAAAAATAACCCCCTCCCATCATCTACCTGTGTGAGCCCTTCAAATATTTGGCTATCATATCACCTCTTAATTGTCCCTTCTTCATGAGTCATTCACTAACCATTGCAACACCTACCAATAATATTTTTCAGAGGTACAGACTGACATGCAAGCCGATGGAGGTTGTGAAAAAAACGGACCATTTGTGGAACTTATTGGACGCAGCCAGGAAATGCTGGAGGCAGCAGGACTGTGGCTCCGAAACATCATACAAGTTGAGGAAACTCACCGGATCGTTATACAAAATTATAACCTTCTCAACCTTGGCAGTGGTCAGCCCGTTGAGCTGTCTCATCTGCAGCAGCACTTTGGCATAACCATAGTGGAGAGTTTGACTGGGGAGGGTGCAGCCCTCGAGATTGAAGGTTCCCCCGAGCCGTGATTGATGCAACATTCGCTATCGAATTCATGCTGCAGACTACAGCCAAGCAAGAAATTAAGGCAGACGGTATGTTATGAAAAATATGTGAACACTTGCTAAGAAAGCATCTGGTGAAGAATTTTGCTTATTGATATCCTTCACCTTATACTAAGCGCAGGCTTCTAGCCTGTACAAAGAACAGTTTGAAACCATACAGGCAGTAGCCCTATTCAGTTGCTTTCCCCACCAGGCCATTTCCATTGTGCAGGTGGGTGCAAACCCTTCCTATACATCACTGTCACTATTCCTGTACCCACCTGGTCCATTGAAGGCTGAACATTTTTATTTTTATTATTAAATTTGTATACTTTCCACAACACGTTTTGAAAGAGCATCGGATGTCAATCAGCCAAAGTATTTTATTAGTATTATTATTATTAAATTTGGTGAAGAATTTGGCTTTGCATTGGAAAGCCTTTTCGACTCAAGTAGGCTCCTGGATGTGATTTAGAACCCTAAGAAATCACGGTAAGAGGTTACAGGATTGCAGCCTCAAAGGATTTCAGTTGTCGCTGTCAAAGGAAATATTACCACTCTGTGAAGAAGGGGCCTTTATTAAACACTGAACTCATTGTGCTTACTGTTTTTCCATTTTAATAAGCAACAGGCATTACCCGTCTCCAGTATGCTTACGGTTAATTTTTCAATCTGAAAGTTGCACTACTATTCAGTATTTTATTACCTGCATCTAGGATCTTTGAGAAACTCTCATCAAGAAGGCCACAAAGAAATGGCGAGTAAATACTGTTACCAAGTCACTCCGATAGAGTCGTATCTTCAAGAATTCAAGGACAAAGAAAAACAGCTTGAAAAAGCTGGCCTCCGGGTTCTGAAGGTAAAGAGATGACCAATGGCAAAGTAATTCTGAAAGAATATTGTGATGTTTTACAAATATCTAAAACCAACAGGAATATAGGAGGGTAAAATCCAAGTCAAAATGATTATTGAAAACTGATACCAATATGTGGTATACTCCTAAATCAAACTCAGATCACATTACTTCATGTAGAGAATAAATTGGAACCGTTTGGTCTTTTTTCATCCTGGAATTTCTATTTTAAAAACAAACAAATTGAAATAAAAAAGTACTTAGCATTGGAACAGTATGTATTTTTTAGTGTTGCTGCTATTGAGCTGGGCACAACTTACTTTCATTTTCATTTCAGATAGAGAAAATATGCAATCCTCTTTTAGAATCTACCTTCCAAAGGATTAAAATAAAAATTGAAGGAAAAAATGCTGGAATGCCAGTATGCCATAGGCTATACCATCGTGTCCCAGCTCAGTACTGTAGTCTGGTGTGCAAAACGGGATTTCAGAAAACCTACCCCTCCTCCTTACAAGGTAAAGCATGCATACACCCATGAAAAGCAAAAAAACCAGAAAATCAGTAGATTATCTTCAAACAATTTGACTGCCATGTTGATGCATTCATCACAGGTGTTCAAGTACATTAATTCAAAGCTTAAAAAGCTAGCTAAATAAAATATAAAATCAAGTGGTACCTATCTGGTTCTTACAATTATCACTATTGTCCTCACAGTAAGATTTAGCTTTTCCTCTGTAAACCCTAAACTGATCTAGAGTTAGACTGCAGTGTCCATTGCTGCCACCAGGGCTGGTGTAGCTAGTGGGCAGTGTGAATCTGCTGCCTCTGGTGGCAAAAGGCTCTGAGGTGGTGCCCAGGTGGGTGCTCTGCCTGCCCCACTGCCTCCACTGCTGGCATCAGGACAGATTTCACACAAGATCTCACAAGATCTTGTAGTGCGTGCAAAATCTCATCTGAAATCAGCGCCACTGCTCCACCAGTAGCAGTGGAACAGCACTTCCCATCTTGTCTCAAGCAGCAAAATTGGATGTGCTGCTCCCGATTGCCACCATGATTGCAATTGTTAAAATAATTATAATACCAGCAGTTTCCCAGCATGTCCTTAAGGCTTCTTCAATTATTACTTGGTCCTCTTATTTCCATTCAGGGCGGGAGTGGGAGCAGACCAAGTCATATTCAGAAGCAATTTGTCTTGCATACTGCTACCATAATGAAAACATGTCTCTGTTTAATCAGTCTGTGTTTTGCATTGTTTTCCAGACCAGAAATATGGAGCTGGCATCTACTTTAACAAGAACCCCAGGAACCTTGTAACAGATACCAGGGAAAAATGTGAAATGGACCACTTGATCTGTGTGTTTGAGGCTGAAGTTGTAACAGGCTCGTATACAAGGGGCAATCGAAGCTATGTTGCACCACCATTAATTAGTGCAAGTAGCATGAAACTCTATGACAGTGTTGTTGACGATATTCACAACCCTGAAATCTTCGTCATTTTCAATAGGGAGCAAGCTCTCCCACTGTATTTGTTGACTTGTTCCCTGCTTTGGAATCCAGTGCAGAAGACCCAGTTGGAACCATCAGCTCAGAATCTATGAGGCCTTAAAGTTCAACAAATGATAGGTACTAGGTTCTATGAGTTAGGTTTAAGTAATTTATGTACATGGCAGTTCTCCGATGCAGTGAAAAATCTTGCCTCGTTACAATCTTGAAGTATCGTTATTGCTTAATAAGCAATCTCAGCATGGGAAGCTTTAATTTGATTTAAAAGAGAACCGCTGCATTCACAACACAAGTACTTATATTAAAATGCCAACTTCAAACCATCTGCAAATATTTGTTTTTTTTCTGTACAAGAATATAATAGCAAGTGCTTCATGCAGTTCAGGATCAGCTTTTGTCTAAGTGCCGGAGATGCTGCTTTTGGAAATTTCAAACTTCAGAAAATTCCAAGTAACTTTGTATTTCTAGAATGTCTTTGATGGTTTATTGAATTAAGTGCTATTAAATCAGTTGGTTTAAAATCCACAATAAATACCATGTTTCTATCAGCTGCACCACTAAATGTCAGTGTAACATTCAGCTCCTTCTCTATGCCATTGCATACATGCTTTGGATATGGGGTGAAGACTACCTGCAACTACATTGGAACATATGACCCAAATTCTTAGGATTAAAGGGGGGCAAATATTATAAATGACCTTTTAATAGGTTATGAACCTTAAACATTACCTTTGTTGCATTAGCTAAAGGAGGCAATAACTGGTGTGTGGCAGATACTAAAAATAGTAAGATTCCTTTGAAATAATACCATCTTTTAGTAGATTCTTGAACATCTGGCAATAGCATTTTTGAATAGTGGACATCTTTATAAATGTGTCCCCCCAAAAAAAGAATCTGTTAAGGGTGAGTACTCCCAGAAAAAAACACTGCTGGTAGGTCTCTTGACTTATTTGACAGATCCAACAAAGTTTGTAATCCCAGTTAACAACAACCAATAAAAGGCTCCCCGCTTAGCAACAACTAAGTGTCTTCCTCCAAAAATTGGCTGCTGAAAACAAAGAAAGCTTTAAAGCAAGCCAGTTGTATGTGAGAGAGGATGTGTAGGTGTATGCAGGCACTAGAAACAAATTCCTGAGCAAGCAAAAGCTGCACCTCACTCATGGGGTTGACTTCCAAATATTCATAAGATTGTGCTACAAGTGTATGGTGTACCATTTCCAGCCACTATTTTGGAAGTGGTAGACTTTGGAGCACAAGTGAGATTTCATTTTTCTCAAGCCTGAGGTTTGCTTGCCCCCCTTTTAAAGATTTCAGTAGTTCAATACTATGTAATATGCACAGTCACCTGAAACTTCCAGTCTGCTACAGAAAATCCCCAGCATATTTGTTCTTGCATCTATTTTTTGAATTTCCTAAAGGTAAACACTGGATTTTGAAAATGCACAACATGACTCATCCTCCCTTGTGTAGTTGCATGCATGGGAGCAGATCATTCAGCTCAATGGACTACTTTTCCTTGCTGAAAGTGCCCCACTATAACCTGCTATATAGGAGTGGCGTTTGTGCCTCCCATATGCAGATGCAGCCACATCACTCACTAGGCCCGTGTGCTCAGGCTGGAAGTACATGGGGTACCAGTAAAGGGAAGGACTGGCTGGATCTACACATGGGAGAGACACATGGGGCTCCCAGAGCAGGTCATAGCTGGGCACTTGTGCTCAGCAGAAAGCTGCAGGAAAAAGGCAACCCATGCAGACAGATGGCTCATGGTTCAAGTATTATTGATAAGCAAAGTTGTAAAAAGGCTTACTGAAAGAAAACACGTCATTAGTTATACATTCCAGTTTTCTAAGGACGCAACACACTTATTTTAAAGAGGATATAAAAAGAATATGACATTCTAACATTTAAATGAACAAATTTCACTACTGTGTTTTATTCTGCACTTATTAAAATTTTCCATGTAAACAATTTCTACATTGGTCAAAGTTCCTCTTTAGTGTTCTAATATATAAATTCTTTTTACAAAAAAGACATCATATTCTCATCTGGTCCTTCAATAAATTTCATATACAGCAGCTAGAAAATAAGAACAGCACAAACTGAATATACCATGAAGTATATATTAAAGTATATATTAAAGTAGTCAATTACCACAGCAATTGAAAATCCCTGATCTTTGTATCTGCAATAGTCAGAATAATGGAAAGCTATTACAAAGGTGCTGTGATTTCTTCATCATCTACAACAAGCATATGAATAATTCCTTCTCTTCTTTTCCCACTGCTGACAGCTTTAATGCAACAGTTATGCTTTCCAATACTGAAATGTGTTTCTGTCCCATCATCTACAAATTCTCCCTGGTACAAAAAAGGAAAAATAAATGTTGAACAGGTGATCAAATGTATTCAAATACTCTAATTGTTCATTAACCACCAAAAGATTGTTCTAAAAGCAAGGGTGGCTAACCTGTAACCCTCCAGATGTTACTGAATTACAATTCCCATACAGCTCCCTGATCATTGCCCAGGTGAGCTGAGGTTGATGGGAATCAACCTCAGCTTCATCAGGAGGGCCACAGGTTCTGATACACAGGCAAACGTATTCAAAGTCATCACAATGCACTTCATAGAGCAGCACTGAGCTTAGATTGTCATGAAATTGGTTAGATTTTAAAGGTTTCATTGCTGACCAATGCTCTGTTCCCAAGTTTTATAAATTCCAAAGTGAATGAACTGTTTAATTGTTCCATTTCCTATGGAGGAAATTTATTGCACACTGGTGGCCTAATGTGTAGTCTATGTCACAAAGACAAGATAATAAATTTTTCCTATGTTTGAATAACACTTAAAAACACTTAAATACCATTCTATAAGTGAGTAGCTTTTAAAATCGTTCCCTCATTTAAAAGTCTTTCAGTCAACCCTGGGAAGATGACGGACTATCCTTCCTTAGAGGTTTTTAAACAGAGGCTGGATGGCCATTTGTTCTGGATGTTTTAGCTGAGATTTCTGCACAGGAAGGGGTTGGAGTAGCTGAGCCTGAGGTCCCTTCCAACTCTACAATTCTATGAAAGAAGGAACTGGTCAAGTGTACATTTCCTTGCTTTTAAGGGTATTTAAACAAAGTTCAAATTCTTCACTTATGGAGGGGGTGCAGAAAACATTGAATATGCATCTCTTAATTGTAACTTTAGTCCATTTTAATTTAAAAGTTTTCATTTTGGAATATCTATGGTTACATACCGCCGTTTCCACTTTTTTACCATTGCACCAGACATCCATTGTGTCTTTTTCTGTTAAAAATAAATAAAAGGACTGTCACTTAATCATAACATTTTCTTATATTAAAAACTATTTACTATAACGTATGCATGTCAGATATGTCCAGACCAAGGCTTCCCATTTTGTATCTTATATTTAATTTTGATTTAGGGCTTGTCCACAATTTCAGCCATTATTTAGCTATGAATTCATTTCTTCTCCATTCAAATTAGACCACAGTAATCCACACCTGCATGTATTTGAATCTGTATATGAGGAGCAACTTTGGTCTTTCCCTTTCATCCCAGTAGGCATTCTCTTTAGTGTTTTTGTTCCAGCCTTCCAGCTTGTTGATTCTATTATGCTGCATACATCTTTTATTTTTTTAAATCACCACCCAGGAAGTGTCCAAAAGCACAAAGACAGGCGATTTTAAATTCTCAACACACTCTTTCTTGCTGTTCCATGCCTGTGTCTTGTGAAAATCCAATCTTATCCATTGAACTGAACCACAGTTAAGCAAAATCTCCCTTCAGATTTTCTGTGCATAGCCGATTCAATGGGTAACATCAGATTTTTGCAAGGCACAACTGTGGGACAATGATAAAAACTCTCAGTTGCAGGGGAACCAATTAGTACACAATATGATCAAAGTACAGGTGAAGCAAAAGTGTGGATGAGCTCTATATCAAGTGTAGTTTTGCACCTTAGCTAGAGTGATGAAGACAATGCTTTGTACAGCCACAGTCAAAGCCAATAAGATTCTGATAACATGAGGTTTTTCTTCCTAATGGACATGTTGGAGCCTAACAAGGGGTGTGTTAATCTACCTATGGGGTTGCTGCCAACTAATCTCACCTCAGTGTGTTTTGTAAAGAGAAAATATGGGATGTAATGTTCAGGGTTCTCATAGTGCTTGTAGGGGGCAGGGAAATACAGGTGTGAGGGTGTCATTTTTTTCTTCTACCAGAGCATTGGTTAGTAGCATTCCCAGATCTCTGTAAATGCTAGCTATGCCCTTGAACAAGTTAGATGGTGCAGGGCATACTGATGGTGCAGGGCATATTGAGACAAGCATTGGGGCTTGTGTGCTCTCCCTTTCTTCTCCTGATGTTGCATGGCAGGGAGAATTATTATTTTTTAAATATATGTTTACTGGCTTTTGAGAAATAAAGAAGGAAAAAGTCAATAAGATTTCCAAATCAATCAAAAGGGGGGGGGTAACTGTAACCATAACTGTGATTGAGTATATAATCTTCTTCATCTTCAGTATGCATTAAGAAATAAATATGGAACAATGGGTCAGAGTTTAAATCAGTTGGTTGGGGAGGGAGAGAATTTTGAAAGACTCCACTAACCCAGAAATAGTGCTTCAGGTTAAGAACTTTGCTTCAGGATGAGAACAGAAATTGTGTTCCGGCGGCACGGCAGCAGCAGGAGGCCTCATTAGCTAAAGTGGTGCTTCAGGTTAAGAACAGTTTCAGGTTAAGTACGGACCTCCGGAACGAATTAAGTACTTAACCCGAGGTACCACTGTAATCCAGTTTAGCATTACATGCAAAAGTCATCCAGTGCCACTAATACACAAGCCAATGGTAAAATGATCAGTAACTCAGATTACTAAAACATACTGAAGTGTTCATATGTTTTTTTTCCATATCAAAAAGGCCCTTCATTAATTGCCAGGAGGTTCTAATGATACTCAGAGCGCTCCAGGATTAGGCTCCAATGAGATATTTATTTTATAGTTTGTTTCAAATAAAGGAGTCACAACAAAAATCAGTGCTCTTCGAACGGCACCACAGCATGACTAAACAAAATATATGGGAATATATGGGACGATACAAAAGGCAAACATGGAACTATGTAAGAATAACCTACCTAATACAACCCTGTAATCTGTACAATCCAAGTGTAACATCCAAGTACTTGTTGTTTTTGACCTGTTCTCCATGTATTTTGTGAGGCTCTTGCCATTAATTTCCAAGGTATATTCATACGCAAAGCCACTGACAGCATCAATGTTAATAGTAGCCTTTGTCTTAGATGTCCCGACAGTAAATGTCTCTTTCCCCACTAATTTGAACATCCATTCTTTTCTCATTATTTCCTGAAGAGAAAAAAACATAGCACTGATGTCAACATATATATTTGCTTCAGTGCTGAAAAAAGGAAACATCACATAGCTTTGTTTGTTTACATCATAAAAAGAAAGCTTGATCTCAAGTACACATTTCAGTTTAATAAAAGTGTTACATTACAAGGGAAGGGTGTCTTGAGCAACTGGATGGGGTATTTTGACACACACCAGGAAGTACAGTTTCGCTTCGTCCCCCCTGCCCCACCTTGGTTTTAATGTACAGTGGTACCTTGGGTTACATACGCTTCAGGTTACATATGCTTCAGGTTACACACTCCGCTAACCCAGAAATAGTGCTTCAGGTTAAGAACTTTGCTTCAGGATAAGAACAGAAATTGTGTTCCAGCGGCGCGGAGGCAGCAGGAGGCCCCATTAGCTAAAGTGGTGTTTCAGGTTAAGAACAGTTTCAGGTTAAGAACAGACCTCCGGAACGAATTAAGTACTTAACCCGAGGCACCACTGTATCTAAGTGGGCATTTTTGTTTGCTTGTAAGCTGCTTTGGGTTGTCTTAGGCAAGATAAAAACAACTAACAAATTTAATAAATAATAGTCATTATTATCATCAACGCTAAAGGGACCTAATGCCAAAGCTAATTCACAGATGGCATCTAGCCCTTGTACACCTATATCACATTAATAGGGGCATGTTGTCCTACTTTTAGACAGAATGTCACTTAACACATTTATGGTGGGAATTCTCATGGGAAAAGAAGTGTTGGCATGCAGTCTCTGGTATAAATGCAACAGGAGGCCAATATGGATTCAAGATTGGCCTTGCTGTCATTTATGGGGTAGAGAAAATTACTGGTATAATAGTTCATCTCCTAATAGCGACTTACCAAAAAAACCTGCTCATTACTGGAAAAGTAAGGAGGATTTTGTGCTGCGGAGATGGTTTGATAAGTATTTGGCAGTTTGCAATGGCAGAAAAATTCACAGCAGAGGCAGATAGGGAAGGAAACTTTCCATGAGGACTGTCTCACCTACTGCTTAGAAATCATTTTTGAAAGATTATTTAACCTGTGTTTGGATCTATACAGATTACAGAAAACATGTATATATGCAAGCAAAATGATATTGCAAAACCAGATAAAGCAAAGTACATACATTGTACCACAGATTACTTCCCATCTCTTTTATTTTTTGGGTGTTGCTATTAAAATTTAAAAGGGAAAATGACTGCACTTTCAGACAAGTATGCATGGACTTTCACATACCAAGAGAACTATGGTGATAAGGCCTTAATGCCTTTTCCATAATGGTAGAAGTTTCACCATGATATTGTTTGGATTGTCAGCAAAGCCTAAGCTTTCTTTCTCATATCATATGGAAAACCACATCCTGGCAGAACAGATAGGCATGTGTCAGAGAACAGCTCTATTGCTGGAGCTCTGCATATACTTATTACTAGGGATATCACAGGAATAGGGGCATCCAGAAAGTCAAAGTCTCCTGCTCAGTTTCTGTGAGAAGAATCAAAGTAGGAAGCACAGCCCATGTTGAGTGGACTTCTTGTCCTGGTTCTATATGTGAACATATCCATTCACCAGCAGCCCATCCCAGAGCAAAGATTTACATTAGGGGCCAGGCAAGATGGTAGCAGTAGTGCAGCAACTCCTTGGACTCGACAGACTTCCTTGCCTCTTCCCTCTTTCCCCCTTGCTTGATTTTCTTCCCCAAATAAAAAAGAGACATAACCAGCATTTATGTTGCAATGCCTCCTTCTACTTCATATAATAAAAACTGAATGGAACTGCAACCCCCATAATTTTTGGCCACGGCTGGGGATTATATGCGTTGTAGTTCAATTTCCAGGATCTCTAACAGAAGGAAACATCACAGTACATTTGTTCTGGGAAAAAAGCAAATGCAGAAGGAGGAAGAGCCCAGGAGTGTGAGGGGATGTCCTTTCCAAGGAGCTAATGCACTATTGCTATCACTGCTAATATTTTAAGAAAAGTAGAATATCTTCTGCAGAAAAACCAAGTGTTTTTCCACTACATGTTTTAGATTTTAGACCGAGACTTTAAATCCACAGTACAGATCAGTGACATAAATTTAACAAATCTAACAAACTTCACAGAAAATAACCTCTTAAGGACGATTATTTGGTAAACCAGGTTAACTAGGTTTCACTGACATAAAAAAACTGTTTGTTTTCATACTGTGTGCTTTTCATGTAAGAATCCTACCTTTCCATCCACATACACAACACGTTTTCCTGAGGTGGTCCCATGTTCAAATTCAATTTTGTGGATGCCATCACTTAAACCTACTTCCCAGATAGCCACCAGGTCCGTCATTCTGTCCAGGTAGCTGCAAGAATATATGTTTAAATACAACAATTCAGAGACCCCCTTTAGGTATGTACAAAAATCTGCACATGTATACTCCATACCCCAAGCAGATCTTTATTCTGAAGTCTGCTTCTGAACAGCTTCCAAATATTGTCCTCAGGTTTTGTGAGACCTCTTTGGAAAGAGGGATATTAAAGGCTACATTCCACTTGCCCTTGAAAACCTATCAAATGGTGCCTTAATCCTGTAGTGTTGTTTTTATTTAGGTAGTCTTTACCTCCTCACCCAAATTCTAAGCTACGGGCAACACAGCAATAATCAAATTATATTAGAAATGGAACAATACTCAGATCACAAGACAGCCTGAACTAAATTTTTTTTTGTGTAGGCATTTATTTTGACAAATACAAATAGGATGGAATCTAATTTGGACCCTTGGACTCTAGAAATGCTTTTGATCTAACACAGACATACACTAATAGAAGACATAGGGAGGCAATTTTGTTGATCAGCCTCCTGAAAACCAGCTCCTTAGAGCTGGATAACTCTCCAAAACAGTGTGCAAGGTGGCATAGTGGTTTGCAGGGGGAAATCAGCAAACATTGTCTCCCCTCTTCCACTAGTAGACATCTCTACTGCATTAAAAGTCGAAGTGTATTGCACCCAAAACTATTTAAATAATGCTTTCCTTTATCAAATAGATCCCCTTAAATAAATCAATTTTTGAACAGGCTCCAATTGTTATCTGTGTCACTGTAATCAAGTTTAGTAGTAAACCCAGAAATAGTGCTTTTTTCATATTTTTAAAAATTATTTCATTTTATATGCATTATAAATATAACAGACAAAAATGTAAAGATGAAAAACAAAACAATAAAATAGGCATGTAGAATGAGTAAGTTGCACTTGAGTTAAAATAGCTAAGTCCAAGTAAAGACTGTCAACTTTATTAAATCATCAAGTATAATTCTAGATGAAATAGTTATTTTTATAGTTTTCTTGGCCAGTATTTGCAACCTAAAATATAAAGAATGAAAACATAGCTCAAGTTAAAATTCTGTTTGCATCTCAAATTAACTCATCTTATATGCATATTACAGTAAGCCTACTATTTAAACTATATGGATAGCACAAATCCTATCACTACTAACATCTGGGAAGGCTTTCCCAGACCTCTTACAGCACAGACTACTTTTTACCTTACATCATCTTCATAGTCAGTACTCTCATCACGGGATGCCATAGCAATCAAAACAGGCTTTAATCCATTTAGCAGCAAGAAAAGAAAAAGCAGAACACTAGCAGCAGCAAAGAGATGTTGAAAACTATCACTCCAGGTTTATTAGGAAGAAATCCTTTCCCAGTTTTCATCTTGTTTAAACACTATGGTTAGGATTCTTATAGGATTAAACACTGTTAAATATAATGTAATAAATCTGTCCATTATGGCAGTGCACAAAGTAGTGGCAAATATAAATCACTTAGATCTACAGGCTTATAAAGTACTGGATTGTTTTACTAGGGCTGTGTATGCAACACATCTTTCTAGAATAACTGAAGACTGAGTAATTGCTTTTTCTATATAGTCTGCACACAATCTAGATCTATTGGATATATTTTTGCTCCTGAAAAGTGCTAATTGAGAAACAGAATTCATTCCAAATATAATAAAAGATCATTGTAGATTGTTTCCGCAGTATCCTGCAGTGTGCCCAATGAAAACAGATGTACATGGTCCATACAATGGGAGGTGTACCCACACACACCCAATACAGTGGTACCTCAGATTACATACGCTTCGGGTTACATACGCTTCAGGTTACAGACTCTGCTAACCCAGAAATATTACCTCGGGTTAAGAACTTTGCTTCAGGATGAAAACAGAAATCATGCAGTGGCGACGCAGCGGCAGCAAGAGGCCCCATTAGCTAAAGTTGTGCTTCAGGTTAAGAACAGTTTCAGGTTAAGAACAGACCTCTGGAACGAATTAAGTTCTTAACCCGAGGTACCACTGTAATCTTGTGAACAGGCATATACTGTACAAAGATCACTATCAACATTTCATTCATCATTCACCCGAGACTTGTTCAGGGAAGAAAAAGTGAATAACCTAATCAAGGGAAGAATCTTCTAATGCATAACAATAACCACACCCATTCTTGTGGATCCCAAGATCTAGAATTGATCTATATTGAAAGTAACATGTTGAGGACCAGCATGAACAATTCAAGATTGAGAAAAGCCACATTTTTGTCCTACAAATGGATTAGTATGTACACAGCTCAAGTTTTTATTTGCTAGTTATTCATAATGTTTCAAGTTACATCAGCTTTGCAACTATGTTATTGGCCCTCAATGACTTTTACAAACAAACTGTCTAGACAATTGTATTTTAACAATTTGGAGCAAAGAGATGGCCTGAAAGGACAGTTTTTCCAGAAGGTATCTACTCAACGTAACTACAAAGTGATTGCTATAAACAAAACTGAGTTACATCATGGCTCTGGATTGGGTTGACAGCTCTCCCAAGTGTTGAACATGTAGTGATAAGTGATGCTTTATATTGAGACTTAAAGGTAAAGGTAAAGGGACCCCTGACCATTAGGTCCAGTCGTGGCCAACTCTGGGGTTGTGGCACTCATCTCGCTTTATTGGCCGAGGGAGCCAGTGTACAGCTTCCGGGTCATGTGGCCAGCATGACTAAGTCGCTTCTGGTGAACCAGAGCAGCGCACAGAAACACTGTTTACCTTCTCGCCTTCTGTTTACCTATTTATCTACTTGCACTTTGATGCGCTTTCGAACTGCTAGGTTGGCAGGAGCAGGGACTGAGCAACAGGAGCTCACCCCGTCACGGGGATTCAAACTGCCGACCTTCTGATTGGCAAGTCCTAGGCTCTGTGGTTTAACCCACAGCGCCACCCGTGTCCCATATTGAGACTTATGCTGAACATAAATAACCCAGTATGGCCTATTGGACTAACACCAGGACTTCTTTAGCCCTGGTATCAGGAGATGCCAGGAACCGAACTGGGACTTTTTGCAAACCCACTTTAAAACATGGCTTTGGGGTGGGGGTGGGGACTGTGGCAATCTCAATTAGCTTTAAAGACAGGTTGCTTATTTGGAACATTATTTGAGAAGTCATCTATGCACACACACATATGGGATATCCACCTGCACAGAACAGCAAGCAATTAAGAAACTCTTACCTGGAACCTGCCAGACAACAATGGAGATATCAATAAAGCTAGGCAGGCAAGCAAGTGAAAACCTAGCAGCTACAGACTGATAAGAGTGCTGGAAAAATAGACCAGTGATGTCATAATGTCACCTATGTGTGACTAGACACTGAAATCTAAGAATTAAAGAGAAATTCCCATTAAGCAAACTCCCTGTCAATCAAAACCACTGATACTGCTGCCTCATATTATTTTATCCTAACTGCGTTTCTCCATCTTTTGTTCCTGGAGGATAAAAAAGCAACTATCCAGTATTAAACTGTGTGAAATCAAGACTGAAGAGGAGGGCCTGAAGAAAATCAGAGATAAAGGCCTATATTTTTAAAGAGCAATAATAAAATAGGAATAGAAGGAGATAGGAGACAGAAGCAGTTATAGGGAAAAGAGAATGTAAAAAGAGGTAGGAGGAATGAATGAGAAGAGGGTACAAGTGAAGGAGATGGGTACAAGAAACAACTGGAGATGAGGAAAATACTTTTGAGAAGCATGAGTGGGGAAAGAGGAAGGATATATATATATATATATATATATATATATATATATATATATTTGACCAAACTGCGGGAGGTAGTGGAGGACAGAGGTGCCTGGCGTGCTCTGGTCCATGGGGTCACGAAGAGTCAGACACGACTAAACGACTAAACAACAACAACAATATATATATTCCTCTTCAGACCCTTAGGATCAGCAAATTCTGCCTAAAACGTAGAGACTGTGTCACAATATCTCCAGGGTCAATGTCTCTACTTACTGTGAGAAAAGCTGAACTATGAAACTCCCTGCTGCAATGATACTGATTAGACATCAATAGAAAATGTCAGTAATTGCCAGCTTATTGTGCCAATCTCTATCTCCATCCACTACAATTTTGTTTAATAGTTCTATTCTACACCACTGTTTGACTAGAGGACTTTAATATTTTCAGCCCTCTCAAGGAACCTCTGGATTATAAGAAGTGTGGGAGAGCTGCTCACCAAGATATCCCAGGCTTGAAGTACTTTTAAAAAGAAAGCCGCAGCCCTTAAATTAGGCCTGGAAGCTCACAGGCAGCCCATGTGATTTGCCCAGAACCAACTGGATGTGGTCCCACCTGCCAGCAATTCACACTGAGAAAGGCTGCAACAATCTGTGCTTGCTGCCATTTCTGAGCAGTCTTCAAGGAATGAGAGCACCAGGGACAAGAATACGTCAAAGAGAGTTGGGGTGAGAACACACAGACCTGTTTCACACCATTATTTAAATCTGAGGAACGCTGGGAGGTGCATAGAGAGAAGAAATGCCATAGTGCATATGCCACAGCATATCCAGACTCCTTCATCTGCCCCAACTGCAGCAAAGTATCGGTCTCTACAGCCACAGTAACTCTCCAAGGGTTTGACTTCACCCCCAAAGGCACATTCTTCCATTGTCTCCAGAGGCAGACAGATGTCGCCAACAACAACATTCAAGGAGAAGGTGAGAAAACCCTGTCCATGCCACAAGTTCAAATACCAAAAGCATGTGAAGAATATGTCTCAATCTACATTTATAGCATTCTAGATTCTTCAATGGAAGGGTCATTTGGTGGCTCAGGCCAAGTAAGATTGGATGTATATCTAAGTGTGCATTACCTTTGCAAGAGGATGCTTCTTTATTCCTGGATTAATCTGAAATAACTAGGAGAGGTGGGTACACAATCATTCATCCTTCCACTCACAGAGTAGAAGGGGGGGAACGTTGTTCCTAGCCTAGAGAAGGGTTGTTACAGTGGGTCAAGAGAGCCATGAATAGTGTTCATGTCTTTGAACTTGCTTTCTAAGGGCGATGCGGTTTGTCTCTAGGGCATATGTGTACAAAGAGGAACAGAAATGGTCATGTAATCCGGATTAACTCCCTGGTGCCTTTTTAAATTAGCAAATGGATGACTCACAGCCCCCCTCCCCTTTTTATAGTTGAAGCGAGAACTCCAGAAACAGGTAGTCGATGAGAGTAAGCAAGGGGTGGCGGTTGTTAATCCGGAGTAATAAAGGCAGAGCCAAACAAACCGTCTGCTGCTTTCAAGGATTTTACAGGGATTTATCTAGGCCGGGGCAGTTGAAAGATACACACAGTAAAGGGGTGGAGGTGGTGGGTAGATGGGCTGGGATTGAGGGGGAGAGGAAGAGACGGGCCAACCGTCGGGTCGGCTGGTGACAGGGCCTCCCCCTTCCTTCCACCCCACGGAGTCCTCCCGAAGGCGAGGCCTTTTCCCTGGGGACAGTGGCGAGGACCTGTATCTATGGGCGACGGGCCCGTAGCGCTACAAACAACTCCAACCCAGGCGAAGGAGGAGGAGAAGGAGATAAAATGGCGGGGCGGGGCACGACGAGTTACGGCGACTCTGCCCTCCTCCCTCCTTCTCCCTCAGATACCTGCGCGGCTCTCCCAGACCGTTACTCCGCTCGCAACGGACTCTCCCTCCCAAAATGGCGGCCGAGCCTGGAGGAGGAGGAGAAGAGGGAGAGGGAGAGGCCGCCCAGCGCCTCTTCCTTTCTCCACCCGGCGGCTCACCTGCTTTGCTCCGTCCCGCCTGTCCGTCAGCGGGCTGCTTCTTTCATCTCTCTCACACCCCCCCCCGCCCGCCCTGCCTCCGTGGAGCAGCTTCCCTTCTCCCGAGGGAGGCCTCCCTCTTCAGCGCCACCTCTGGAGGCGCCTCGGCTGCTCGCTCCCCAGTTCCTCCTCTTCTCCTCAGGCTCCCCAAAGCAACGCGGGCTGACTGTTCCCCGCCGCGCCGCGCTTAAATTTCTTAAAGGATGCTGCTTCCTCGTTCTTCCTTCAGCGCCCCTTCACCTTTTCTTCCATCATTACTTTTCCTCACTCTTTTCCCATGAAGCAGCTGCCAGGCGGATACGGCTTGTTCCTAAATCAGGATTTATAGTCCCTCTGGAGAAGGAAAAAACAGTAGCAACCCAGTTCGGATTTATTTCAGAGGAACAGGCGTAGGCGGTTTTTCTTCCGTGCTGCCTGAGTTTTGCAGTACTTTTCTTTCTCTCGGATTGCTGGAAAGAGATCGTGTCGAATAGTCTAGAAACGTAATGTAATTCTTTGTATGCAAGCAAGAGTATGTTATCCTTCTATGTTTGCTAATAGCAAAGAAATACAGGATGGCGGCTACTACTGTATTGTATATTCTCATCTGGGAGAGTTTGCTAGCCATAGGTGTGGAAAATTCAAAGAGTCTTAAAAACCCAATCCTGTGTACATTTTACTCAGAAGTAAATAAACCCCACTGCTTCCAATGGGATTTACTTCCCAGATAAGTGTTCATAATGACGACAGTCTTACGGTTCAGATTAATGTGGGAGCCTTTAAGGAGCAGCAAAATCGAAACGATGCTGATCGGTGTCTTTTTCCCTGTTAATCACCGAGCGCACCCATCGACGGAGCCCCAATAACATTGGAAGGGAACTAGCTTCCCGGGGGCTCATGACAGAATTCCCCACAGGTGCCCTTTTGTCCTCCACAATCTCCTTTGGTACTCTTATGAGAGGGGAAATGCAACAGGTGCAGCTTTCACAGCATCGTGGAGTTGGAGGGAACCTCGATGGCCTCGATCTTACTGCAGCCCTTTTGTCTGATCTGGTGCAAGAGCACCCACGACAGATGGCTGCCCTGAAGACATAGGATAGCGAGGGAAAGCTTCACCTGTTGAATAAGATTCACGGGGTGGGGGGCAACTGCTAAAGGCGCAGGAGCGCCACCAGCAAAATGGGCCATATTGCTGTCAGAGAGAGAGAGTCTAGAAAACGTGAAGAATTTGTTTCCAGCGCAGCATCTTTTTCCTGCGGCCGCGAGCGAGAGAGGAGCGAGCGAGCCAAGCTCAGAGAGTAAAACCTGCGTGGGATTGAGGAGCGCTTTAGAAATGGTTCCCTCCCAGTCCCTAGATGGAGCCGAAAGGCGCCCATATTTGGAAGGGGAGGAGACTGAAGCCCAACCCTGGGGGCGGCCTTGCTGCGAGGATTTCCTCCAACCCGCTGCAAAGCCCGCCTATAACGGCTGGGAGAGGCGCAGCCCCGGGCTGCTGCAGAAAAGAAGAGGCTGGAGCTTGTTAAATCGTCCGCGCCAGGTAATGGGCTTTTGAGTTCTCGATGTGAGCAAGTGAAAGTGAGGACACGTGTCAAAGGAAGGCGCAAGGGCCCAAAGGGACCTAAAGGTGTTGGTGGAGGGAGAAGGAGGCGGCGGCGGCGGCGGCGGCGGGTGGGGAGCCTGTGGGGAGATATTATTGCTTTTACATGTGCTGGTGCTTTTCATATTTAGGCCTCTTTGCACAGACAGCGTTTACTAGAAGTATAGTAAGGGCTTTAATTTATATTCTGGTTTGCCACAGGAGATAAAAACATATAAAACAAACACGCCTCTGCAGCATAAACAAACTTGCTCATCGATTCTCAGCTTCTGCCCCAAGAATATTCAAATCCGCTTAAACTCTAGCGTGTGCCGGTAAAAGGCAACACTTTATCTGCAGCAGTTTTTTTTTAGTAACTTGAAACCTTGCATGTGCTTTCACTAGCAGAAATGCCCTTCAGGCCAGGGAATACATATAACCATCAGCTCCTTGTAGTTGGCATGACTGTTACTCTATATAAATATTTGTTTTAGTGTTTTAAAATTGTAAACCACCTTGGCAGAAAGATAATATATAAAGCCATCCAATAAGAAAACCAGGCAAAACCCACCCACTCTACAAAGCCAACCTCCACAAAAAGGCACCCCCCCCCAAACAGGCAAAGGCACTTTACCATCCCCAGAAGCACTCTTCACAAACCCAGACAGGCAAAAGCAACTCATCTGTCCCAAAAAATCCACACACACAAAAGGCAAAGTTACCCAAAAACCCACAGATGACAAGCAAACTCACACATACCCCCAAACAGTAATACAGCCCCCCAAGAAACAGGAAAAAAATCCTCCTCAAAGGAAAAAACCACATACCCCAAAACATGGAACGTCCCCTATAATAGGCAAAGCACAAGCTTCCTTTTGCACAACCTGTGCAGACATCTCAGTCACACGTGCACATATAAAGCAAACAGGCACCAACCCAACTGGCAAAAAGATCACTTTCCCCTTTACTGAACAGTAGAATTACCACTGTTTCGAATCACCCGCAACTATTATGCTGCTATTCAGATGTGCAATGAGCCCTGTTTTGCTCTTGCTTATGATTTTTTGAAGAATGTGCAGGAGTCTTAAATTGGAAGGTGGGTGCTTTCAGGTTGTTTCTGTGTTGTACTTTGAATGCAACAGTAATAAGTTTGAACTAAAGGGGTTTTTATTCAGTGATAATGTGGACTTCTCTGTGAAGGACCTCTATGCTAAAGGATAATCAACAATCTCTTTGCAGACTTCAGCCATCTGAAATGGAAAACAGAAGGGGAAATAAGAACTTATCATAATATTGCCACATGTAAAATTTGTTCATATCAAATTTTCCTCCGATGTGTTTCACCATATTTTTCTCCTAAATGTATTTTCAGATTACAGAAGAGATTGGAATATTGACCACTAATCAGCTGAAACTAAGGCTCCAAAATAATTTACTATGGCAGAGGTATTTGAACTTTAGATAATTCATAACTGTACATTTTAAACATATGTAGAATTGGTAAGAAATAGTACAATAACCTTTAGTATATTACCGTATGCGTATAATGTATTCTTTAAAATGTTTGACGTGTTGAGGGAAGAAGCCATTTCTCCCCACACGTTATAATAAATTGCATGACAAGATGTTATTTAGTCTACTGTCTGTACTCACTTTCTCAGGAGTAAGTCCCATTGAATTCAGTTGGGCTTACTTCTGAGCAGACATGTTTGCACATTGTTCTGCTAGGCCATAGTTTAACCTTACATGAAGAAAGTTAGGTGAATCCTATTTACAATTGCAATCCTACTCTTAGTAACTGGGGAGTAAGCCCTTTGAGTTCAACATGACTACCAAATGATATTCTGTATTGCTCTAAAACTGGATTCTATGTATGCAAATGCTATCTAACTGTTTATTAATCTGTGCTCAGTTTCAGTTTCCTTTTCTCTGTAAAGCAGAAAAATAACCAGATTAAAGCTGTACAAAAATATGTGTTTTTTAGATGAAGTCTGCATATTTTTAAAAAATGAAATCCAAAGGAATCTTAAAAGATCATGCTATCAGAATTCCGCATAAGACTTGGATCTCTTGTTCCTCCTTCTAAGCTTCTATACAGTAGTATGCATCTACGGCTGCAATCCTATACCCACTTTTTGGGGAGTAAGTTCCACTAAGTAGAGTAGATAAACGTAGCATTTTGGTGTGTTTTTAACACATTCCTTTTGTTTGGTTTTCAGAGCTCTCAAAGTTGTAGCTTGCCAACAGAGGCAGCATCAGGTTCCATGATGATACATTCCTGCCCAGAAAGAATGTCTAATGATAGTCGGAGAATGGATGAGGTAAGAAGTTAGAAAGTTATACTTTCTCAAAGTGTAGAACATTTTGCAATTGACTGGGCTCTTGTAGAATGTCTTAAAACAGATGATGACTGTTGAACACGTGTGAAACAGGGAGCTGCTTGAGGGGGGAATATTGAGGGTGTGTTTTCTCTCTCTTTCTTTGTCTTTCCAGTTGCTTGATGTGTCTTTTCTTTTTTTAATTGTGCATATGGAATTATTAATGGGTCAGAGTGGTTGAATATATAAAGAAGGCTCATAACAAGATCTGAAGCCTTTAATTGGGATGAACCTTTATGGAAGATGGGAGCTCAGGGAAATTAAGTGGGGCTAAAAACACACTTAATATGAATGTATTGAAATTAATAAAATATAAATTCAGGTAGGTAGCCGTGTTGGTCTGACACAGTTGAAATAAAGCTTGCACACGAAAGTTTACACCCAGAACAAACTTAGTTGGTCTCTAAGGTGCTACTGGACATTAAAAAAATTTTTTTAATAAAATATAATTTCTATACAGTTTACTTTTACCCCATTTTTACAGTAAAGCAAGAAGTGTTTTTATGATATTGCTCAGTGAAGGAATTTGTTATCACAATTTGAGGAGGTGCTCTCAGTTATGACCAAATTGGATGCCATTGAAACTCATAAAATGTTGTGATGTGGGGTTCATACATTGTGGCACATTTGCTGCCTTAGGTATTTTGGCAGTGGTGTTTGGAAGTTGATGTTGAGTGAATAATTAGGAGAGAAGCAAATTAGAGAACAAGCAAGAAAAAGATGTATACTCTAGCATGAAGAAACTCACAATATTTTCCATTTTGTCTGACTTTGAGCAGGAGCAAGAAGAATGGGGAAAATTAAACAAGTTATTAAGGCAACATGGCTTAAAACCTGTGTACCTTGATAAACCTGGAACTGGCAGAAACATAGCAGGTAAAACATCTGTTTTAGAAAAGAAACTGTAAATCAGCCTTCAGTTGAATTTTTCACTTTTCTAATTGCTTTAAGGTGTGAATTTTCAAGTGTCCACAGTGTCGTTCATATTATATGGCTGCAAGGGAAGTGTGCATGATCAGCTATGTTACTACAGCTTTGTTACTTGGTTTAATCTACATACAAAATGTAGAAAATGAACAAGGCAAATGTTAGATGTCATGTATTTATTTTTTTGAGGATGCCTCCACCTGGCTCAAGCACTATGAAGTGTAAAAAACAAACACACTGCTTTCTTGTTTAAGCCATCTGGAGATGTAACCTACACTTACTGTTTTCCTACAGGCACCTCTGCCACAATGTGCCTTCTTCATTCCAGTGGCCTGTTTTGAGACATTTGTTATAAAATGTGGTATTTTTTAATGAGCTTCTCAAGGACTGCCTTATTCCATATGAACCTACCCAGACCCTGAGATCATCTTTTGAGGCTGTTCTTTGTGTGCTTCCTCCAAAGGGTGGCAACATGAGAACAGGCCTTCTCTGCAGTGGCTCCCCATTTGTGGAACGCTCTCCCCAGGGAGGTTCACCTGGGACCTTCATTATACACTTTAAGGCACCAGGCAAAAATATTCCTCTGCTGTGGGGGTGTGGGGGTGTGTTATTGGATTGTTCTTGTTTTTATTTTGATTATGTATTCTGTGTTTTTATATCGTGATTTTATCCTGTGAACCACCCTGAGACCTGCGGGTATAGGGTGTTATACAAATTTAAGAAATAAATTAATAATAATAATAATAGTGACTTTTTAAAATTAAAAAAAAAACCTTTGCAGATAGGATTGTTATGGACAGACAGACTTCGCAAGCAATACGATATGCATTGAGATCATTAATGGAAGAAACAGAGCGTCAACGTAAAATAGTTCGTGGCTTGATAGAAGAAAATCGCCAAATTAGGTAATGTTTCTTAGAATTCTTCTGCGGCATCTAACAGGCTCGATGCAGAGAGTTCTGAACCAGCATAGAGGCTGGAAGGGGACCATCTTCACCTCTGCTCTTTGCTAATCAGAGTTCTTCACTCTTGCCATGTTTTTCTTTACAGTGGTAGAATTGTTGCAGGGGAGACTGGCAGGCTGCTCTTGAAAGCAGAATGTCATACTAGATCAGCCTTCTCCAACATGATGCCCTCCAGAGGCTGCTGTACAACAACTCCCATCATCCCTTACCCTTGGCTGTGCTGGCTGGTGCTCATGGGAGCTGTAATCTTAAGAGATCTGGAGGGCACAAAGTTGGGGAAAACCTGGACTAAATGCCCTGATCCACTATAGCAGTTTTTACTTACTTCTGCTACATTGGCTTGTCAATTTTTCTGCTTCCTGGCTTTCACAAAGTCTTGCTCACAACTCTTCTGTTTGACTTGTTTTGTGGCTTAAAAATTCTGACCTGCCTGTTATGGCATTTTGGAAGCTGCTCCATGCATTCTTCTCATTCCTGCACAGGAATGCCAGGTATTGGGGGTTACATGATAGGTCAGGATTTGTCCCTGTGTCCATTCTCCAATGTGAAGAGGTATGCCTTGTTCTTCAAAGAGCGAGGAAAGAACATGTGGCTTGTTTTTCATCAAGTCCAGTCTCCCAAACTGATGCTTCACTTTGGCTCATGTACTTACAGCATGTAAAAAGCAACAAAACAGAAAATCCTTCAGGAGAACTTGTTTATATTGTCTTTTAAATGCAGATTCTTTAATTCAGATTAAATACTTTAATCTGGAAAACTTTAATTCAGATTAAATTCACTGTGGTTTAGTGACTTGTAGTTTTCACTGAAGGAATTTCTTTATTTTCTATTTTTTAATTTTTTTAAAAAAAGAGATGAACTACGTTTAGAACGAAGTCGGGCTTCTCGGCAGGAACAACGAGCCAATGAGCTAGACATCATTGTGGAAAATGTCAAACAGAAAATCTGTCAGCTGGAAGATAAGTCTATAGCTCATGCTTGTGAGCAGCAGAACCAAGTCAAGGAGCTTCAGAAAGATCAGCAAGCTTCACAGGTACTTACCGTATTTTTCGCACCATAGGGTGCACCGGACCATAGGGCGCACCCAGTTTTTTGGGGGGGGAAATAAAGGGGGAAAAATTATTTTCCCCCCAGGCGCGGGGCTGGGGCGGGGGAAGCTCGAGCTTCCCCCGACCCCAGCCCCCAAACAGGCAACTCTCTGAAAGCCGTGGGAGCCCAGCGCTGGCTCCCGCTGCTTGTGGAGAGGTCTGCGAAGCCTGGACGCGCTGATCTCAGCGCGCACAGGCTTCGGCATGCCGGCAACTCTCCGCAAGCAGCAGGAGCGCTCCCGCTGCTTGCGGGGAGGTCCGCGAAGCCTGGACGCGCTGATCTCAGCGTGCGCAGGCTTCGGCATGCCGGCAACTCTCCGCAAGCAGCGGGAGCGCTCCCGCTGCTTGCGGGGAGGTCCGCGAAGCCTGGACGCGCTGATCTCAGCGCGCGCAGGCTTCGGCATGCCGCCAACTCTCCGCAAGCAGCGGGAGCCCAGCGCTGGGCTCCCGCTGCTTGCGGAGAGGTGTGCGAAGCCTGGAGAGCGTGAGGGGTTGGTGCGCACCGACCCCTCTCACTCTCCAGGCTTCAGCAAAAGCCTGCATTCGCACCATAGGACGCACACACATTTCCCCTTCATTTTTGGAGGGAAAAAAGTGTGTCCTATGGTGCGAAAAATACGGTAATTAGTAGAGATGTGGAATTCATAAGTTTATCATGTCAGGGGATTACTGATCACAGAATCGATACCATTGTACAGTATGTCATGGCAGAATGTTTTGACCTTATAGGTGATGCACTTTTAAAATGTACTTGCAAGAAAAAGAATAAAACGAGTTACCTCTTTTAAGAAAGTGAGAGACTTCTTTTAGAATGGACAGAGCAAATGAATTCTGGCCTACCATTTACTTCCCTTCTTAGGACTGTTCTGCCTTCTGTGATTCCCCTGTGTTCTGCTTGCAGGCAAAGAATCAGCAACAGATTGACAAGCTCCGAGAGCAAGAAGAGACTATTGCCCGTTTGGAAAAAGAGCTTAAAAAGATGGACATGGAGGAGGAGGAGCGTTTGGCTACACAGAAAAAAATATTCCGGCAGTTCTGCAAACAAGCTCCAAGAACTCATTTGGATCAGCAGTAAGTAATTCTGGATAATTCGTGAGAGTTTTGTGCAAATCTTAACATTTGCGAGTTAAGTATTTCTCACTGTAATCTGAAGCATGAGCTTACTTGGGAGTTGCAGAGGATTTCTGGCCATTCTTGGTAAGAACATGGGTCCAAGTACTTTACCTGTACTTTGCAGGTATTTGGGACCAAGTACTTTACCTGTAGTGGTGATGTTGCTGCCACCTCTGTGGATGTTGTGTTGCCTTGCGGTGAATAAGGAGAGGCAGGACAATCTTGGTGGTGCCATTTAAAATCTTGTGTATTTTTATAGTCTATGAGTAGTATTCAACTATTTTTTACTTGGAGTAAACTCACTGAAATTAATAGATCTAGTTTAGTTACGGTCATTGCTTTACCCTGTCTACTCTGCATAAAAATTAGTTGACTACCACCCTATATATTTAATAAATATACCCCCAAATTTTAATATTTAGGCTGCACACGTACCATACTTTTAAAGAACATAACTTCTCCCAAATCATCCTGGGAGCTTTAGTTTATCTCTCACAGAGCTGCAATTCCCAGCACCCTTAACAGATTATAGTTCCCAGGCTTCTTTGAGGGAAGGCGTGTGTTTTAAACGTATGGTGTTTATGCAGCCTATTACTCCAAAGAAGGTCCATAGGAAAAAAATCAGAACTACCACAGGGTGGCAGCAAAAGGAAGAAAATGTCTAATATCTCTAGCTTTATAACAAAGCTAGTTCCAAGCAGCAATACATTGACTTGTTATGTACTGTTAGTCTGAATTTTTTACAAAATTAGCTCACCTCATAGATCATTGTATGACAAATACTGTAAAATCCTGAAGAGTACAAATCATTCTGTAAAATCTGCAGTGGTGATGCTTTTTTGAGAAAAAACCCCTCTACTACCCAAACGTAGAATCATAGAGTTGGAATAGACCACAAGGGCCATCGAGTCCAACCCCCTGCCAAGCAGGAAACTGGGAGATCTGATGGAGATCTGATTTTGATGGAGATCTGATTTTGTGTGTTTCTTCACTTATTTTTAGTAAACAAAACTAACATTACATGTTATGTAAGTATCTGAAAAGCTTTTCTAACTTGTCATAAATAGTTAGAACTGAAATGATTTTCTTGCTGGGGCAGGGGAATATTCAACAAAGATATCTTAGTTTAGTTTAAGTGTTTATATTAAAATAGAATCACAAGTACACACTGTGATAAATTTCTGAAGAGAGTTGTTGGAAGAGATGGAAAGAGTCTGAGACATTACTGTCGCCTGTTTTTTTCTGTTCTAAGTGTCTTCTGTTTTTTGCCTACATCCTTTCAGGAAGTGTGGGGGCTGGTGGCCTCCTTCAGGGTCTGGGCCTTCCTCCCCCTCATCCATATTGCTACTGTTTTGAACTCAGGTCCCAGAGCTTCTGAAAAAGGATTGATTGCTAGGAGGGCAAATGAGTTGCATTTGCTTGCACTGCATAGGAATAGTTACTTGAAGACCAAAGTTAATTACACGTTGATTTTAGATTTTCCCATATTAGATCCATTCCAGTTGCCCAATTGTATTCATTACGGTACTAATTGCTTGTATGTATTTTATTTTATAAAGAATTGTTCTTCTGAAGAATACATAGTAGTGGAATATATTTTGGAACATTTCGTATGATATGGCTTCATTGTCATCGTTATTGCTATAATAATAACATTTTGTTTATATACTAAAATTGGATTGCCACTCTTATGGTGTGTTTTCCCTTGTTTCTTTCTAGGATTTGTTCTTTAATTGACCATTATGAGTCTCAGATCAAGCAAGTGAGAAAAGAATTAAGGTAAGAAGAGAAGTCATGTTAGGAGGGATTTCATAATACGATAAAAAAGATGAATAGGAAAAGTCGTCGATACAAAATGAGTGATTCGGTGGTAATGTATCGATGGCTGACTAGATCAGCTATTCAGGTTAGTCTTGTGGAATAGGTCTCACCTATCAAATGATTTCTAGTTTTGTAATTTTAGTATTTTTCACTGTAGTGGAACACATTTTAACTTGGATTTCCTTCCTAGGAGATATAACAGAGAGCCTGATCATACACAAGGAGAAGGGAAAAATGAGGAAGAATTCTTGAAGGACATAGATGCCACTCCAAATTACAGAGCCCTACTCATGGTAAGGCACAAGCAGGTACCCATGGATGTAGAAACTGTCCAACCTCTAGGGAGGAAGTTAAAGGTGTCCACTTCAGGTTTATGCTGAAGACAAGATGCATGAGTGGCAGTCTTCCAATGACCTCCCCTCCCAGTAGCTGTTCCCAAGCTGTTTTCTACCTTGGAACAAATATTTCTTGGATGTCTGTCGCTCTCCCCCGGATGACTGCCAGATGGAGCGCTTCTGCAATGGGTGCAGCAGGGTTGCACTTGGTCAGTGGCGTAGCGTGGGTTGTCAGCACCCGGGGCAAGGCAAGTAATTTGCGCCCCCTAACCCGTGGATTTGCGCCCCCTAACCCGTGGATTTGCGCCCCCTAACCCTTGGATTTGCGCCCCCTAACCCGTGGATTTGCCCTAACCCCAGATGTTGCGCCCGGTGCGGCAGGCCCCCCCTGCCCCCCCACGCTACGCCACTGCACTTGGTGGCTGCATAGTATATAGCAGCTGATCGCTGGGGAATTTTGACAAAGGCTCCTATGCACATAGAGTTCCTCTGTGCAAGGGACAATCCTGCCCCCGCCCCCGATGTGGAGGAGCTGTTGTGTGTACGCCCCTTCTTGCGCTTATCAAACATGTGTCCAGCAAGGCCACCAGGTTTCTTGGTGGGAGGGGAGATAGCCCATGCAGTCTTGTATAAAGGTTCCCATTGTTCTCTTCTAAATCTACCTCATCCTCCAAAAAACGTGCCAAAGTTAATCCCTGGTTTGATTAAAAGAAAACTCAGCAGTTTGCATTGTCACTTCTGTTTGATTCTCAGCATATTGTGTGGAGATGGGCACCCTTCAGTCACCTGGTTACTGTTTGCACAGCATGGAACAGCCTCCAACCCAATGACTGACTGGCTGTTTAATTTTAAATATCATATGTAATATTTGGCTTTTATCACCTGGTTTTATAATTTGAGATATTGTGAAAATGGTCATATACTTAAATTTGAATAGCTGGAATTTTAAACTTAAGAGTTCCTGATTCAAACCACTGTTCACCTGTAAGCTCCCTGGGTGACTATTTGAGGAAGTCAGTATTTCTCAACATTTTGTTGGTAAAGCCCCTTAGTATATAGCAATAGTACAGTATACTAGTGACTTATTTAGCCCACTTGTTGTGAAGACAATTGAGATAGGTTAGTGACATTATGAATGCTTATATGACAACATATTTATTATAAAAGTCTTTGAAGTCTTTCCAGACTCAGATAATCGAAACAAAAGCCAGAAATGAACAGCTGTTACGTGAAAATACAAATCTCAGGAAAGAGATGGAAATCAGGTAAATAGTGTGAATGTTTTATAGGCTGTTAGGAAAGCATAGCTGCTTCACAATGTAATTATTTCTTTAATAGTAAAAGTGATCTATAGCCTTCTGTTCAGAATAAATATCTTTTTGATGCAGCTTCAAATTAACTAAAAAAACAACAACAAAACATTGAAGCCACAATAACCACCATATGAAAAGTAATTGGGATTCTTCCCATTAGGTGGTTGCTGGCAGATGGCCCCGTGGGAGGTGAGAGAAATCTAGCTAGAGCTGGCTTTGAAGTTGTCTTTACCTGCCTGCCTCTCTCTGCTGGGATTCCTTCCCACTGGGCAGCTGTTGCCCTATGAGGGAGGTGATAATCCCTCTGAAGCAGGCTCTAAAGCAGCAAGCAATCTTCCACAAATCTGGAAAAATCCAAAATATGCAACTGTCTCCATAGATACTACTTAGTGCTTGATGAGGGAGGGTGGCATGCTCTTCTGCTCACTTTAAAAATTATGATTCTCTAGAAATTCACTGGATATTTTCCCCCCTTTTAGACCAACTGTGCAAGAGTTAAAATTTTACAAACACCAAGTGAAGAAGCTGGAGAAGGCACTGAAGAATATCAAGTAACTAATTTCCATTAAGCATTAACAATAGACCTCTGTTTTGAAGATGGAGAAAGCAGGGGCCTTTTAGAAATAACCTTCTTCTGAAGGCAGGCAGACTTAAAAGAAAGCCAAAGAACAGAGGCACACAAGCTTTCACTGTAGTTCTAAAGATGGGCTGGTGGAAAGCAAAAGCCCTGTTGTGAACAACAGGAGCAAAAGCATGTCTCAGTACTATCCCTGGAGATTGTGGATGTGCTTGTAGACTCAATCATGGGATTGAGTTGGTGAAAGTTGGTGAGAACTGCAGGTTTCCCCAACAACCACTTACGCTAGTCTTCTACAGTCAAACCTTGGCTCCTGAGTGCTTCTGTTTTGGAACATTTCGGCTCCTGAACGCCAAAAACCTGGAAGTAAATGCTCCAGTTTTCTAACGTTTTTCGGAAGCTGAACATCCAACGTGGCTTCCGCTTAAGTGCAGGAGGCTCTTGCAGCCAATTGGAAGCCGCACTCGGTTGTCAAACATTTCAGAAGTGTTCCGCTTCTACACTTTTTGTGGTTGGGACAGTAATTTGTATGAAGCATTAAAACTGGGTTGAATTGTACATTTCAAACTAATTTAAATACATCTATTTCATTTTGTGTGCTGAATATTGCCGAAGCAAGAGAGGTTATAGAAGCATTTTTTGAAATATTTTCCCCCTTCTTGCTATAGTTCCTTTTTTCTTTTTTACCTGCAATATAGATCCCATGAGATTGATGAAGAAGAAAGCATGAAAGAAAACAGAGAATGTAAAAGTACTACAGGAGGGGTACTGCAGGAAACCTGCAGGAAATACTTGCAGGTAGGTGGGCTGCCGTTGCAGGAGCTATTAAAAATGCACTCATTTCCAAAATAAGGGTGTTTTCCCACCCTTATTACATGAATGAGTTGTGGAGTGCCTCAAGCTCACATTCATACCACCTCTCCCCTTTCGTATCTCTGAGAAGATTTGAAGCTTTTGCTTCCAATTTTGAACTAGCTGCAGTTTTCCTTGACATTTGAACTTTGGAAACTTCAGTTTCATTTAACTGTAGCTAGAACAAACTAGGGTCAGACTTTGATTTCAGTTCTTGGTTTGTCTGCTCACTGGATATTTTAAAATACCCCCAGTCTCCTGTGAAAGCCAAGTCTTCTATTGTATTTTTAATATTAATTGGAGTGTGTATTTAGCACTGCAATAGTATCTGTCATAATTTCTGCTGTGTGGTTTTTCTGACAAATATTTAACATTAAAGGTGTTGTCCAGCATTGACGCTATTATAAGAAGCCCAAGAAGAGCTCCGTTGGTCACGCATTTGCAGCGGAAAGGGTTGCCGCAAAGCTGCCCCAAAGGGGATGAGCAGGAATGTGGATTTGAGCACCTTCCTCTTACAGTTGAGATGTGGGCTGACCAGCTAATGGCCCTAAAGGTACGGATGGTCTTTGATTTCAGTCTTTCTTTCTCTAGCTAGCTAGCTCTTCAGATGTGTGCCTTGTGCATTTTCCAGAGATAATAGTCTTCAACTTAATTTCAAACTAATTATCCTGATAAGCTGCCCCCTTCTTCTGAGAGGAGCAAAAGAGATGAATGTCAGCCTTTTCATTTTTAACAAAATGTCATTGAAGATTTGTGTGTTGTTTAATTATTATTTGCTCCATTTAAAATTCACAGTACAAACACATTGAGCTCTGACCATTAAATAGAAATTGCACATGCTCATATTCTGGCCATTCGAGTTACTCCTGATAGTTTTCCTGAGAGTTAAAATCCTTCTAGCTGCCATTTCTCCTTTGGGAAGAACATACTAACAGCTCTCTGTTTTCAGCTACAGGATAAATGGCTTTGGAGGAAATTTTAATTAGAAAAATGGTACTTTGGGGAGGTCAGATATCTCCCCGTACTCCCCCAGCCCTGTGGTCCTAATCTGATCTCCATCTGCTCAAGCAGCTGTTTTTTAACTTTTAGAACAAAAAAAATGTGATTCTGATTTGGCTGTCTCACACAAAACACAAGGATCACTTTCAGACAGGCAGAGCAATCCGAACCTCCCTTATGCTGGACTGGGTGGAGACTGTATTAAGTAGAGGGGTTGCTCTACCCAGCTGCCCTGGCAAATATCACCAGTGCTGACTTCCACTTGCTGGTGGGTTCCCTGCTGGCATGATCCAGCAAAAAGCCCCCAAACACAGTGCTCTGGTAGTGGGGCTACGCCAGCCCTGAATCGGCTGGATCCCAGGCAGTTCACCCAATGACATCAGGTCTGGTCATCTTGTCCCCCACCTTCTGAACTGCACAAAGCCTCACAAGCGAGAGAGGGGAGTGTGGATTGTGCACAAAATATGTTAAGTAAAGCAGGAACTGTGATGGCTTCTAATAATAATTTCTTGCTCTTTCAAGACTTTGCATAGGTCCCTGAAAAAATTGTTTCTGCAACTAGTGCCTTGGTGTATGGTCACGATGCAGGATAACAGTGAATATATTAGAGTTGAAGACCTTCAGCTCATGGTAGATGAAATCTCTGAAGAAGTAGTAAATAAAGAAAAGGTAATTTTGTTCCAGAGTTATGTCTTTTCAGAGTTCTAGTATGAAATTCATTTATTTGCATGTGCTAGTATCGAGCCCTGTATTTATTTTATTTGACAATTCTTAATATGCCGCCTTTCGTTGTAAAAGATAGCAAGGCATTTTCAGAATAAAACCAAGAAAATATAAACCACAACTTCCAGAGTTCAGGAAAGATACTTGTCAGAGCTGCCCTAGGTCCCAGCTCACAAAGGACCAACGCCAGTTCGTTGTTATATAAAACAGTCTTTATTGAAGCTCAGTTTTGCTTTCACAGCCGCGGCGCGCAGCTCTACGTCTCAAACTCTAGACCGCCGAAGCTCCGTCTGAGTCTCCTCCCCCCAGACACCAGTTTAAGACTCTAGCCTTGCTCCACCTCTTCCTCTGCTCTCTTCTCCTCTGGGCCCTCCTGTCCGCTGGGGTCTCGCCTCTCCTAGACTCTTCTGACGCTGAGTCTCCTGAGTCCTCCCCCTCCCTCCGGTGGGCTTTAGGACCTGGTTCCCCATCCGGGTTTCCTGCTGTGCCGCGCGCCTGTACATTCGAACTTGGCGCGCGTGCCCAGCCGGCCACCTTCCTCCTGACCGTTACACTGCTCCTGTCACTGCTTCCCCCTTCGGGGAGGCTAGCTGCACCTGACTCTCCCTCCGTTACCTCACTCTGCGATGGAGGCGTGGCCACCTCTGACTCATCCTCTCTCCCTGCTGGAGGAGAAGCTGGCCCTGATACATGTGGCTCTTCCCCTTCACTACGCTCTGGTGGATGAGCTGGTCCTGCTCTCCCGCTGCTGCTTTGGGAGTCCCCGCTGGCCCCTTTCTTCTGGTGTGTCCCCCCTGGGACCCCCCTTGCCCTGGCCATCGGCGCCCCCCTCTGGGAATCTTCTGATTCGCTGGAGAGACTCATGGAATCTCTCGGGCCAGTCTCATACTCCCCTACGCTGCCCTCAGATTCTTCCCCTTCGCTCCCCATTTCCTCTCTCCCCTGTGCCTCTGCTCCTGAGCCCCTGACAATACTATTTAAAAAAAAAATCTGGTACAAATATTCAGATAAGATACAGGACACACTTCCATTAATGCAGTAGAAAATTTGGGTCCTCATTCAATTTTGCTTCAAAGAATCACTTTGGCTGTGTTAGGTTTTTTTAATTACCTCAGTCCTGATTCTGCTTATAAAAACCAACCAATTAATTCCTTTAAAGTCTTATAAAACGCCTTGTACTAGTGTAACTGTTTAGTTAGATAAGACTTCTATGTTTTGAGGAAGACATCTTCAATATTTCTGTACGCATTCTCAGCCAAGATTTACTTTATCCTCCGTCCCCCTTTGTGTCTTGCATCCTACAGAGAAGTTGTGTGCCTTCACAAGAAGCTTTGTATGCAATGGTGTCTCACTTTCAAAAGCTCTTTGATGTGAAATCTATTAATGGAATTTATCCTCGCATGAATGAAGTTTATACAAAACTTGGCGAAATGATCAATGCTATGAGAAACCTCTGTGATCTTTTAGAACTAGGTATGGATAACCTTTCCCTTCCTCCGATGTGCATCCCTCAGCTTGGGATGCAATGATAATAAATAATAAATGCAGGGTGCCATAATAATTGCTAAAACGTAATTTCAAATAAATACGATTTAGAATCCCAGATTTTCTGGTTTTTGATGTTTTTGCTTTGGTTAGTGGTGGGAAATGATTTCCATGTCTAAAATATCGACTTTGCAAAAGACCATTGAAAGTCAGCCTCATACTTTTTAGACCTGCTTTAGATTGATTTTTTTTAAAACTCCCTAACTTAACATGTTTCTCATAATGTAGTCACTACCCTAATGATTATGTAAAAATGTTGCTTCCACCCTCCCAGTTACAAGGTATTCTATGCTGTTTTGCAGAAGGACCATAGGTTATACTTGATATGATATGATATTTTAATTTATAGTTTTCTCTTTTAAAAAAGTGTGTATTTGTGATTAGAACTGGTGCACTAGGTGCCTTGGTGATTGCCAAATAGAACACACTGCATTTTGCTTACTTCAGAAAATCCTTAAATACCACTATAATTATAATCAACTTTTTTGTTATAATGTATTGTCTCTTAATTTCACTGTGTCTCTAGCTCTTAAACAATGTGTCTTTTTATCTTAAAGACAATTTGCTCTTGTTTGCTTGGGACATCTACCTTGATATGTATCATTGATCATCAGGATCAAGAAGAGTATTGTCTGGCTTCTGTGTGGGTGTCTGTTGTACTTTCCCAGATCTGCTCTTTGTGTTCAGTATCTCACAAAGCTTGGTTCTTCCCTCCTGTCCCCCGGTATCCTTATCGTAATTGCTTTTAAAAACAATCTGTATCAGGAATGGAACCTCGAGGATCATTCCACATTTAGTGTGGGTATTTGTGTTGGCAGTCACTTCCAGTGAGATTGCTCCTTGGTTTGTGTGTGATGTTCTTGAAATGGATGTTTTCTTCCCAGATACTTCTGCCCCACCCAGTGTCCTGGTCAACAGGGTTGGAAAGCTATGCAGTCTGATTAATGAGAATGTGTCCCAGCAGGTTGAGCAGCTGCTGGGCACCCCTGACATCCAAAGGTATGCAAGCCCTTGATAAATCATAGTAGTAACTCTTGAATGATGCATTTAGATCCATATTGCTATAGTCAATCTCAGTATTTCATTCAATAGATCGGCTCTCAAAACCCGTAACGTCCTTTTGAACCCTCTGAAATAACCCCTCAGGCTTAGTGGTTTGGAAGACTAAGTGCATGTAACTAAAACGACACTTCTTTATTCTGTTTGCTTCTACCTCTGCTTTCCTTGTGTCAGTTTCTGTATTGTGAGCCCAGCAGGTCCTGGTAAGGCACCATTTACTGGATGGTGGTACCCAATAGTTGGCTATTCTAAGAAAGTATTTTATTGGTCATCTCCATGCAGCTATGGTGCAACCCATTCTGGGTGGAATCAGGCTTTGGCAAGTCTTCCGCTGCTGTGTCAAATGACCTTTGTCAATCTGGTGCTCCATGTTGGCTGGGGCTGATGGGCGTTTTAGTCTACTGTACCATGCTGGCAAAGGCTGCTGTAGAAGACCCTCACAGCCTTTTTACACAAGTCCTGCTTTTGCAGTTAAATAAGGTAGAGGGTCCCCTGACAATTAAGTCCAGTCACAAACAACTCTGGGGTTGCGGCGCTCATCTCGCTTTACTGGCCGAGGGCACCGGCGTTTGTCTGCAGACAGTTTTTCTGGGTCATGTGGCCAGCGTGACTAGGCCGCTTCTGGCAAAACCAGAGCAGCGCACGGAAACGCCCTTTACCTTCCCACTGGAGAGGTACCTATTTATCTACTTGCACTTGATGTGCTTTTGAACTGCTAGGCTGGCAGGAGCTGGGACCAAGCAACAAGAGCTCACGCCGTTGCGGGGATTCGAACCACCGACCTTCCAATCAGCAAGCCTAAGAGGCACAGTGGTTTAACCCACAGCAACACCCTGTGGCAATTGAGGAAGTACATATATAGTGACATCATAAAAGTAGTTATAGAGCATTCCATAATGGGACCTCATTTAATCTAATCCTAGGACTAAGAATCATGTTTAGGGGTTTTCTTTGGGGGTGGGGTGGGGAAGCACTGTGACCCTCTCAATAGAATAGCTGCAATGATAGATGATCTCAAGCTCCATCGATGAGTGATATTATTTCTGTTACCTTTTGATTTGTAATCTGAAGTTAATACTGCTTCCCCAGCCCATTGTGACTTGGCTTCTGCATGAGATCAGTCTTAAGTTTTAATAAACCATAGACTGCACAACTTTGTTGGTCACTTGGAGTACACGTGACACACTTCTTTTGTGGAAATTCCTTAAACTATAGCCTTTCCCTGCTTTTGTGGCAAAGCAGGGGCGAGGAAACTTTAGGGGAGAAGCTGCATCACGCCAGTTGAAAGCTGTTGGAGTGTAGTCTCATAGTTGGTGTGGCCAGAAAGAGGACCCCTGCCCCATGGAAACAGACATCCTATTATTGCTGACTACCCTATTTAAAAAGGAGAGAGAAGCAGTGCACAGCTTTGGTATCGTTTGTTTTCTTAGAGGCTAGATAAGTGTTCTCATGTTTCAGCAGTACTGCAAGGCAGCAGTTAAGCACCTACACTCCTAGCTGCTAAGGATGCAAATAGCATAGCTCTGCCAATTTACACTATTCGAATTGCTGGCTACATGTAGCCATATACCCCATAGAGGAATTGCAAGGGAAGAGAATCATATTTGGCCCCAGTTTCAAGGTAAAACACATCTGTAAGCAGAGATGTAGCCTGAAGTAATAGTGTGAGTATTGTGTTACAAACAGGTGACCCTAGATGTATCTTATCAAGGATATTTCTTATAAGGAGAATTTTGAAACTTGGAATATGAAGAGCTGGGAGGAAGGAAGCACAGATTTCAATGGGTTAGTTTTTGAAATGAAAACTGCAGGAAAATGAATGTGGCACAATTGATTTTCCCCCAGCATTGTTGACGAGTTAAAAGAACATGATAACTTTTTCCAAGCATTTGAAGGTCTTATTGAAGACTTGCTTCATATTCTAGGTAAGTGATTTCTGCAACTTGCATCTTCCTGGTTCCCCAGAATCAGAATAGACGTAGGCAGGCATTCTGTTATTTATTATCTATACTAATAGGAAGTGCTTGATGGAATGTTTCTCTGCTGTGTTTTCTGGTTCCTCAATCGCTACTGTCCTCTACCTTTTCTAGTTTTAGGCATGTGTACAGGTATCCCTATACCCGCAAATGTACATTTTACTCCCCCCCACACACCTAAAGTATACAAGAGCATGCTTACTAGCTACTTAGTTGTCATGTTTCCCAGTATGCAAAATTTAGGACCTTGCCTTTTGAGAGGGAGACAAAATCATTTCCCATTTGGGTTTTCCCATTTTTAATCCTAAAGTCTTGCACAAGACCTCAGTATTTATTTATGTAGTGCTATTATAGTCTATTGTATTCCCCCCCCTTTTATTTTTACTAGAATGGAGATCTCCATATCCTCTTTTGAAATAGACAGGTGGGTAACATTTGGGTTGCTGAAAACAAAATGGCTAGGCACTTATTTGGCTGAGGTGCGAACAGAAGTAGGGGCAAGGCAATAGATCACTCACCAAAACACAAGAAGTGACAAACCACCCACTGAAAAAATGCTGTAAGGAACATCCATGTCATCAGTAGCTGGGTGTATACAACAATTTTATACTTAAAATAAAACATAAATTTTATATTAGAAGCAGGCTAGCATTTTGATGCCACAGTAAACTCCTGTGGGGAAGTGCCTCTTGCCAGACATGTGGGAGACTTCAGCTTTATCCAGTTATACAGCCTGCCCTTTCTGAGGAGACACAGCCAGAGTTTATTACTTTGCACAAAGTCACTGTCATCTAGATTTCCACTGTAATAAGTACTGCATATAACAATCACTTTTCTCATTTCAGAGGTCAGAAATCTGACAGATATAGTACCTGCTGTGCAGAAGCTGAAATGGAAAGCCTGATGATTATGTAAGCCATGTCTCAACTTAATACTTACCTACCTCTCTGTGTGTGTATAGCTGTTGAATAAAAGGTTTTAACTATTGAAATTTTGATATTCACACATAATGGTCCAAGGGATTTTTTTCTCTCCAAAAAGTCACAATACCACAGTGTTTAAGTTTCTTTATTAAAATCAGTTTTGTACTCAGTTTAATTTCAGAAAACACATGCATCTTTGGCATAATAAATATAATTTAAGATTGTAGGGGTTCAGAATGCACTTTGGTTGTGAACCAGAAGACTGTAGCTGCAAAAGAGTTTTCCAGTCATCCCTGCACTGGCTAAAAAAAAAGCTGGCACTGAAGTAACAGTCATCACACACATACCCCCTGCTGCCTCCATCTCAGGTAGAGGGCAAATAGTGACATATTCTTATCAAAACAGTATATAATCAGTGTGAAAGTTTTATATAGCCCTCTGTTATTACGGAAGGTTCCTGAGGTCTCTGCTTCTCAATCAAATATACTCAGAGGTGGTGGTCTTTAAGTACCACCTGTTTCATTCAGCAATCGCCAAGAAGGGGCTTTGCCCCTCTGCCAGAGCTCCAGGTGAGGTGTGCTAGCACTGTACTGCACTACAACCTGGAAGCATTTCCTAGACTGAAGACCCAATGCATGCCACAGGCGTGCATAGGAATGTTCATTTTAATTGTGTATTATTGCCAGCAGTACTGCCATCACAAGTGACCGCAGAACTATTGCCAAAACAGTGCATCTTGAATAAATATTTTATAGAAGTGTATTAAACAATGTGATGAAGATAAATAAAAAATTACAAAGCTATTTTGTAATTAAAAAGTTCAAAATATACATATGTACACTTGCTTCAGCTATTCATCAGGCAACAAGTATCAACTTTGGGGCTGCTGTCCAGGCTGTCCATTTCTTGTCAGCTGATACCTACAGAAGAACGAACAGAATTGCATTACAAAAATTGCTGGACAGACACTCCCCCCCGCCACTTTTTGAAGCTGATTTTTCTAGTAAGGTTAGACTAGAGGTGATCCCTCTTAGGAAAAAGTTTTGTTCTAAAAATAACAGCAATCCATAACAATTGTAGGAACTGTTCAGGCATTGAAACTACCACATATATTAGGGCATCAAAAGGTTATAACTAAAACCTATATAACTTTTTTTTTGTTATGTTCTTATAAGCTGTAAATGTAAACATACCATTGGGAGAAGCCCCTGACTAAGTCTTCCTTTGACAAGTCAATCAGCACCTTCAAAACAAACAAACAAATTAAAAATTAAGAGATATTTCAAATAACTTGCTTGAATATTTTCATTAACTGTCTGAATTACAGATAAATGGTTCAAAAATAGGTAGAGATGATTACCAGGCATAGAACCTGCAAGCAAGTTTTTACTGAGTTATAACCATCCTTGGAATGCAGGTGTCCTCTTTAATATAGAGAAGGTGTTGTGACAGCACCAGAATTTTGAATATAGCAGCAAATGCTTGATTAGTTGGGTACAGGAGATTTCTCTCCTAAGAACGCAGTAGAAGATGTGAGAAGGGGGGTATCATGGCACAACTGGAAGTATATTTAATCTTTCTGCCATGCAATCAATTTCACCAGCTTATTTGCCCTCGTCTTAACTTTTGAAAGCAGTGCCATACCTTTCCAAGCTCCTTCCTTTCATGTGAAATAAATCGCCGTCTGTTTTTCACTGCAATGTCTAAGGCTCGTTTCTTGATGTCTTCCAGAGTGTCAAAAAATTCAAACCTAGAAGTAGAGACAGGAAATGCGTATATACTGAATAGGCATGGAACACAATACAAAGAGGTTAAAGCTTTGCAAATTAACTGAAAACATTGCTTCTGATAAGCAAGACATTCTTAGCCTCCAAATGTTTGCATCATTGAGATTAGATGAATGAATGAGACAGTTTGACCACACAATCAAGTGGTATATAAATTTTACGAAAAACTAAATAACTATTTCCCTTACTGGCCTTTGCACAGTGGGAATCATGATTTTTAAAAATAGATAACAATTACAAAAGCATTATGTTTTCTGAAGCCCAGGTTGATCTGAAACCACCTTCATCCTCTGTTTCAGAGACCACACTTAGGGGGTATGGTACTAGAATCTCAGATTTCCACTTTCTACCCACAAACTGAAACATTAAGACTGTGTGTGTGTGTGTGTGTGTGTGCGCGCGCGCGCGTGTGTGTGTGTATACACTGCAGGCCAGTTCTACCTTTGACCCTTCTGGGCACTCCATTTCAGAGGCACTCAGTGATCTGATGGAAGTGGACCATCTCCTTGTTACCTCTAAACCAGGTGTGCAGAACCTATGGCTTTTCACTTGCTCGACTCCCAAGGCCCATTAGTCCCAGGCAGCATGGTCAGGGGTGATGGGAAATGTAGTTCAGCAACAGCTGGAGGGCTAAAGGTTCCCCATCCCAACTCTAGACAGATGACCTTTTCCTGCTGAGTGTGCTGTAATCTCATGCTCAGAGCTGAAGATACCCAGCTGCTCAGGGGCCATGGACATAGCTCAGTCTGCACAGTGACAGTCTTCTGACAAAAGCCTAAGGCACATCAATTTATCCTCTGCTTTCAGCACACGTTGCTTACCCATTAAGCATTCAGGATCATGAAAGCAAGCCTTTCTCAGAAGAGGGAAGCTGATATACAGAGGAGGGTTCATATTTTCTCTGTTCGAGCTGAGCAGCCTTGCTTTAATATTAGATGACAGAGGTCATTTGGTTTGGATCCTAATGAGGTTTCCACTTGTAGGAATGTTTTTAAATGATACAGTTTTAATTATGTGCAGGATAGAAATACATTTTTCAGATTCTTTGTGCTCCCTCGCAGATCTGCTCTGGAGGGTTAAAGGGGATCCCTCTAGAGCAGCAGGAGAGGGAGCTGGGAGAAATAAAATTTGCCTTATTCCTGAAAAAATTCTCTGCTGAATCCCAGTCCTGCCCATGAATGAAAGTAGCCCTTCTGTTCACAGATGGCTAGCTGGGATCCAAACCAGGGTCAGATTAATGTTCACTTAAAAATTGTGATGTGCAGGATTTTGGAGGTGTGCTACTCCTCTTCGCACGTAAAGAAACAAAATAACAAAATTCTGGTTATTTCAGATACTGTATACACAGGTTCTATATACCACATCAGAAGATCTACGAATTTTTTAAAGCACCTTCCTATAACAGATGTAACAAAAGCTTCGAAAAAGTGAGCAAAACCAAAGAGGGAAACAAGATATAAGAAACTGCTCTTCACTTACAACATTTTCACCCAAACGATGACAGACTGCCACATCCAGTTCTCCCAGTACAGGCATAGCTTTAGCCAATGACATATTTAAAGGCTTGGGTGCAACTGCACATTTCTGGCAAATAAATAGCAGGTAAAACACACAGGGTCTTGACAAGAAAATTCCTTCCAGGTTTTACTTACTTTTCATCGTAGTGAGGATTCAGAGTTCTTTTCTTGACGGTAGTTCTTCTTCGCATTACCCATCTTTTGTCCGGGAGTAAGTAGATGCGGACATAGGGATGTGCTCCTTGCTGAGAGCAGGGCGTTAAATTCCTTTTGGGAAATGAGATACCATCCTTAGGATTAACAGGTGGAAAAAATGCTTATCTATGGTGTGTTAGGATTGTGCGTATGGGTGTGCCCACACTTGTTTTTCCTGCATCTGAAGAAGTTGTAAGAAAAGCAGATTAAGAAGTAAGAGGAATCTGTGCCTCCCAAGCTTTTCTGTAGATAGGGCTGCTGCTAATACAGTGCTTGAAGCCAGGCAGTTATTGGGCACAGCCAGGCTTGTCACTTCAGTACAAAGCATGCGGTCTACAATAAAGACCCATTACCAAATGAAGTGGCTGGACCTGGGCGGGCGGGGCGGGGTCAATGGGTGGCAGACTGGTAAGACAGCCAGCAAGACAATGTTCGTAGCTGCATGTGATCCACTCCGTATTAGAAGGATGTAACAGGATGTTTGAAAATGTGAGCACACCTATGTAGCACATCCTGGTTGTGTCTACAGCAGAAAATTGTGCATACCAAAATTCAAGCCCTAAACAATATCAATCACAGAAGACAAAGAGAAACAGCTCTCTCAGGTGTTACCTGCATGCATTGACCAGCACGATAAGAGACTGCCGTAGGGATGCATAGCGCACAGTGAGGTGAATCTCTCCCAGGGGCATTCCATCATAAAGTGTCCCACTGCAAGATAATGAATTACATTTAAAAAAACAAACAAGCAAAACCTCCTCCAGAAGCTGAACACATGCTGCACAACTAAGATCCCTACTAACTTACACTAGTATATCTCATCCCCATAAGCTAAACCAACTATAAGCCATTCACAAGAGAAGGAATTCTCTGTGCCAAGGAAGATGTATTTGATTCCAGCATCTCTTGGGGTCCATTTCACCTTGAGGTATGTTCTGAAAACTATTCAAATCAGAAAAAACACTGTCGCAGTAGTATAGATGCTAAACATGAAGTACAAAGAGCCTTCCATCAAAGAGACCTGGAATCCCAGCAGAAAGTAGAAGGTAGGTCAGCTGTCCAGGAGCAGCTACAGGTATCTAACCTGAGGGCTGTGACTTTATTTCTATGGGGTCTGTGTGCCGACTGCTAGCCTTTCCAAGCCCTTTAAGGCTTGCCCACACTTCCGCTTGCCTTGTGCCTAGAAAGCATGGTCTGAGAGGTTTTCCATTTGTTCTGCCACTTTCCCCAGGAAAACCCGCTTTTTACTGTGGAATCGGAGCAAATGTCGATTTGCGAAAAACCCAACTGATGTTTAATCCAACTCCAGGAAAGAGTTGGTTTCTCCCAGGGAAAGTGGCGAGAGAAGTGGAAGTGCATCCCTTCCTTTCCTGCTGCACTTAAGCAAACTTCACTGAACTTATAACACATGTGTTGCTCTGATCTAAATGCATATCTTGAGAAATAAAAGCCTCCCACAGATTTGGGTGATTCCAGAGGGAATTCTAATTAGGTCACTGAAGTATTGAAGATAGGTCATTGGTGACAAGTTTTTGTTTTTGTTATTTCTTTAACTTCCTGGATTTTCCTGGGAATGGGCTGACATTCTGACAATGTTGTGGGTGCTGCAAAAGTTTTGCATGAGGCACCCCGGTGTCACAAACACACCTTTATCTTGGAACATGCTTAGAG